TTTTTTTTTTTTTTACAAGGAGCTGACTTAATTTCTAATATTTTAAATTTATAAAAAATTAAACTATGCGCAAACATAAAATTAGAGCAAAAAGATTAATGTCCAAGTAATTAGAAGAAAATATTTATGCAAACTCTTAAAAANTTTTTTATGAATAAGGCCATAAATTTATAAAAAATTAAACTATGCGCAAACATAAAATTAGAGCAAAAAGATGAATGTCCAATTAATTAGAAGAAAATATTTATGCAAACTCTTAACATATTTATGTAAATATTACTTTACCTTTAGTAGGAAGTTATCCTCTGTCAATGTTTTGTATAGTAGAGTAGAACCAACCGCAAGCAGTGAATCTGGAAAATGTATACTTAAATTCCAAATCTGCTCGTATCACTCCAGCTCCCGATTCCATGTAACTCACTAAATATAGGTCCACCGAAGCATGCAGCTAGCGCCATATTTTGATAGCCTTGACGAGCCAAGTATTGATTGGCAATTAAATCGCCAATGCTATTAGCCCATGTCAGAAGCGTGACGCCAATGAAAGAACTACTCAATCCAGTAAAGATGCTGAGTACTACGAGCGCATTGAAGGCCTCAGCGCAACAAACGCGTACAACGAATATCGAACCGGCAACGCTCAAAATTGAAAGATACTGAAAAATTTTTAAATTTCAATTTTATAAAATATGCTCAACTGACCACATTTATGTCTACGAATATGTAGATATATCTGGAGAACTATACATCATTTACCTGATGAAAGAAAGGTATTCGATTTGTAGTAGATCCAACGAACATGCATAAAGCGATCGGGCACGCAGCTAGGCCGACCCATATGAAGAGAGGTATTCCAAACAGAGAGTATATGTTCACTAAAGAATAAATGCATGCGAGTTTAAGTTCGAATTTCATTGTAAAATGGTGATGAAATTTTATTGCTGTGGGATGACAACAAATCGGACGACTTGAAATTGAATTTTTGGTCGTACTGTGACTACTGGCGAATCTCTATCTGAGTGGAAAAAATCTTATGGAGAAAAACTTATTATTCTTGTTTGGGCACTACAACCTTCTATCGGCGCCACATGTCTTTGTCTCCCTTGCAAAGTTTAGTCAGTTGTTTATCCTGAGTACAGATAGATCCACTTGTGGATACTTAGCGCAAAACTTCAACCTCAACATCCTTAACAAAAAGCTTCCAAAGCTGATTTAACTACACAGATAGAGCAGCATCATCGCAATTTCCTACGATAAAAAGCCCGGAAAGAAAATATACAGCAGATGTAACCGCACCTAGCAATATTAGTATCCAGGTACCATCTTAGGCGGGAAGTACAAAGGCTTACAAAAGTGAAACAAGCCGAGAGGTCTGCTGAGCAATAGGCAAACCATAAAACGAACAGTATGGCTAAGAACTTCATCGAATTAAATAACACTGAAGCAACCATTTCAGAGACTCTCGCCCCTAATAAATGCTGTTATTGGAGCTCAATCACCACCCATAGCATCAGAAGAGCTTCAGCTGCCGCGATATCGGGCCTCAAATAAGGTCTGGATACTGCAGTCGTCTGAACTTGTCCAGACTCGACTCGGACATATCAAAGACAAGCCCGGCTTGTGAAGCCTACCTGCACGACACGAACCACCTCTTCACATGCCCACTTAAACTGACGCTTCTCTACCTGAAACAGCACGTTTGCTGTACCTAACGTTAACTAAACTTAACAACGATCGATAGAATATACGATTTAGCCAATTCTTAGTAGTGAAGCTCGAGGCAATAGAAGTGTGGTGGAGACGAAGCAAATGTGCCCAGTAAGAATCAGATATTCACTTTTTAGTGATCTCTGTGCAACTACTTTACCAAAACTTCAGCTTCAAGTCGATTAGCTTTTTAGTTAAGAGGCGACTCAACGATGTCAACCCTATTAAAACACGCCTTACTTAAAATGCCCTCACATTTACTGATACCAATTTAAATTACAGAATTTAATATTTAAAATAGGTGGCAATCCCCTGTCATTCACTACCAATATGAAATAATTTTTGTTATAACTTTTTTACTTTAGAGCATCCACGCGAGCGCGCCACG